GGGAAGGGATTCCCACGCACTGGGGGTGGGGAGTTCGTAGACGGGTGAGGACGGGGTCGAAACTGAAGAGGATCCTGTTTAGTGACCCGGAAAGGAGGTCGGGAGTAGGGGGTGTGGTTGGGGGGTGAAGGGTGTTAAAGCTGCAGGCATACCGTGTGCTGTACTGATATAAGAGATCGGAGAAGATGACGGCCTTTTGGAAGATATATTGTAACGTACGTATTGGTTTAAGATGGAAGATTGGGTTGCCAAGTCACAGACATTATGTGAATGTTGTTTAAGGGTGCATAATCCTGCTTTGGGACTGTATGCAACAATCTGAGCTTGTCCGTTTGACCCGGGTCCACGTGGTGCAAATGTACTAAGGCTACCGCTATGATCCTGACATCCGGGCACACGATCAAAGGTTCCTGGCGTGCCCAGGGAATGCAACACTGCACAGCAACTTGAATCTAATGCCGTAGAACAAGCGAATACAAAGTTCGACTCATTTCAGTTCATCACTATGATCTCGACGCCTTTGCTACTCATGTCTTCGTTTCTATTGTGTGTGTGCGTCGTGGCTACTCTTCTCTGCCGTCACTGCCCTATATCTACGGCGTCACTATCCAACAGCAACGCCGTCACAACATATCTACTGCGTCACCATCCAACAGCAACGCCGTCACTGCCCTTTTTCTACGGCGTCACTATCCAATAGCTACGCCGTCACTGCCCTATATCTACGGCGTCACCATCCAACAGCTACGCCGTCACTGCCCTATATCTACGGCGTCACCATCCAACAGCAACGCCGTCACTGCCCTATATCTACGGCGTCACTATCCAACAGCTACGCCGTCACTGCCCTATATCTACGGCGTCACCATCCAACAGCAACGCCGTCACTGCGCTATATCTACGGCGTCACCATCCAACAGCTACGCCGTCACTGCCCTATATCTACGGCGTCACCATCCAACAGCAACGCCGTCACTGCGCAATATCTACGGCCTCACTATCCAACAGCTACACCGTCCCTGCCCTATATCTACGGCGTCACTATCCAACAGCAACGCCGTCACTGCCCTATATCTACGGCGTCACTATCCAACAGCAACGCCGTCACTGCCCTATATCTGCGCCGTCACTATCCAACAGCTACGCCGTCACTGCCCTATATCTACGGCGTCACTATCCAACAGCTACGCCGTCACTGCCCTATATCTACGGCGTCACTATCCAACAGCTACGCCGCCACTGCCCTTTATCTGCGCCGTCACTATCCAACAGCTACGCCGTCACTGCCCTATATCTACGGCGTCACTATCCAACAGCTACGCCGTCACTGCCCTATATCTACGACGTCAAAATCCAACAGCTACGTCCGGACTACTCCATGTCACCGTTCTACGTCTTCGCCCTCACAGAGCCACGCCTTCGTCATCTTGCCTCTCCATGTCATTACGATGTACACTGTGTATGTAATACATGTACATCCTTATCGTCTACACTGTTTCTTCGCAATGTCTTACATACAGTTAATCTGATATAAGGTAGCCTGTATCTAAGGTCTTGAAAAGATAAATCGTTATCAAATCATGTTACATTTCGAACACTCTTATCGCATATTATTGTCAGAGGCGGCTAACGTTCTTGGCCACGATTACGTACCGTATACCGTATTAAGGGCGTACAAGAATAGGTCAGTACGCATAGCAAAGAATGGCGGCACGGCATAGTATTCCGACAATGTATCTAACTGATGCCTATGTCACTCATTCATGAAACTGCAAAAATCTACGTAAATAAAAATATTGAAAACTGTTAGATATGAGGTGGTGGTAACCAGTGGTTAAGCCCATGCACGTGCAATACATGACACGTGACATGGTGGGTGTTTTCTTTCCTACGTCCGTATATTTGTCTGTGCCCTGGAAATTCAATGTTACCACTGATCCCAGCAACGTCAGCTTAGGCGTAGATAGAGACCGGTGTTTTTGGTCATTTATTATGGGGGGTGAGGTTTCACCAAACATGGCAGTCACCATGAAGGGTAATAAACATACATGTATGTGAGAGTGAGTGAGGGAGGGAGTTTACTTTTGCGCCGCTTTTAGCAATATTCCAGCAATATCAAGGTTGGGGACGCCAGAAATGGGCTTCACATATTGTACCCATGTGGGGAATCGAACCCGGATCTTCGGCGTGACGAGCGAACGCTTTAACCACTAGGCTACAACACCGCCCACATATATGAGAAGGCTCGTGAAGAAATTAACGTTTTATTATAGAATGTTATGTGTTTCTGCGCCTTGTCTTTTCAGTTAGGTACAAGGACACAGGAAGTGGGGCGGTAGGGTAGCCTAGTGGTTAAAGTATTCGCTCGTCTCGCGAAGACCCGGGTTCGATTCCCCACATGGTTACAATGTGTGAAGCCCATTTATGGTGTCCCTTGCCGTGATATTACTGGAATATTGTTAAAGGTGGCGTAAAACCATATTTACTCACTCACTCGTCGGAAGGTCATCCAAATATAGGAATGGTATTAATAGAGGTGACCAGAGAATGGCCAGCGTCGGTAAAATAGTCGATGACGTGTCAGCGCATCCCGATAGCATTAAAGCGTTCTTTACAAATTAATTTTTAAAAATTTAGCAGAACCAAAAATCGATTGAGTGCATCTGTCTGCGTGTTGCTAAGGTGAGTGAGTATGGTATTACGCCGCTTTTAGCAGCACTCCATCAATATCATTGTGGGGGACACCAGGAGTGGGCTTTAAACATTGTACCCCAGTGGGGAATCGGACACGGACCTTCGGCGTGACGAGCGAACGGTTTAACCACTAGGCTACCCCACCCTCCATGACGAAATGAACAGTTTACTATAGGACGTGTCAAGGACGGGAAACAGTGCGGTGTACCGTGACGTAGTCTTATCAAGATCAGCAACGATCGGGGGAGATCAGCATACATCCACTTCGTTCACTTATTACATAAATAATTTAGGGCTCGACTTTCATTACGGAATCAACGCGTGTCGTCATGGAAACGATGGGAGACAAGGCTAACTGGTTAAATTAAACATTATGTGCACAACGTGTTTGCTTGCTTGTTTTTGCTTGTTAAACATTGATTAATATGCTAGATGTATGACTGCGGTTTTAAAATATTCGAATATGGACCAGACAATCCAGTGACTGGCGTTATGAGCATCTGTGCCACGCAACAGGATGCGATGACGTGCATCAACCGTGTGAACGAGCCTGACCACCCGCTCCCGTTAGTCGCCTCTTTCGCCAAGCATGAGTTGCTGAAGACCTATTTATCTTTACCAGGTGTGTATCTCGAGATCGAGGTTCAGTTCATTCTCATTAATAAGATATATTCACCCGTATAGTCATTATTAAGGGTCTATCCGCAAAGATATGCGTTAGAATTAGTTTTCAGCAATCCATGCTTGTCGTAAGGGGCGACTAAGGGGATCGGGTGGTCAGGCTGGGTTGACACATGTCATTGTATCCCAATTGCGTAGATCGATGCTCATGATGTTGATCACTGGATTGTCTGGTCCAGACTCAATTATTTACAGGCCGCTGCCATATAGCTGGAATATTGCTGAGTGTGGCGTTAAACAACAAACCAACCAACAGTTATAGTTAAGTATTGTAAGTTTGAAATGCAGCTAAACTACAGTGACTGGGAGCACATCTTTGAGTACAAGCATCGTTCCCTAATCCAGTCATAGTGCCACAAGAACCATCTCATCCACCCTTTGCGTGATGAACCTTCGGTGTGACATGTAATCACGACAAATTTCATTGTGCGGAATGTCAACAAACTAAAACCCAATTACCCACTTACTTCTTCCTAGATTGGAATATCAAAGATGTACCAGCGTGAAAAACGTAACATCCCGCAAATGGTTAAGCCGCGTAAAATTCACGGCTTATAAGGTCTATAATGTAGCCTTATTAGTGGGAATACATTATCTAGTTACGAATAACAAGCTCAGTTCGGGCTACAGATTTAAATGGTGGGCCCGAATCAAGATTACATATCACATTGTCATTAGACTGACTGCAGCTAAGCGAATGTTAACGTAAGACTAGCCGTAAGCGTTACGTTAGCACCCTGTGGACATTTAATGGTGGGTGACGGTTCGCTGACGACGGTTTACAATGAAGTCACAATTGGGGATTAGTTGCGAGGATAATATTACGGCTGGGTTTAGAATGGCTTGAGATACCCTGTGACATGGCTATAGTTGTAAAGATGCTATTACCTTTCAAGTCGACACTAATAGGCGGAGAGAACGTGACAGTGAACATGACGGGACTGTTCAGTAGATGAAAACCGGACCATTACATCGTGAAAAACACAAAATAATATATAGAGGCAATATCGTTTATATGTGTTTATTTCAGCATTAACAACATTATTCTGAACTATCTTTGTCTCCGGGGAGAATGGCCACTTGTGTTTACGGTGTGGAGTAAATTTAATACAGCATATCAATTTACTGTAAATGGAGATATGTGATAAGATTTTTCTCGCATATTTTATGGCCGGAAACCGTTTGTCATGCCACTCGATTAGATGGGGTAGAGAGTATTTATACGGGTGGGTCCAACTCGTGACAAACAGATACCTCGACAGTGATTTATATGAGACTGGAGAAGGCCTATTCAGCGAAGAGCACCGTGTGTTGAGAATGTATGTGTTACCTATAGAAGCAAGGAGATGTGGCTGTGATGGGTGAGCTACTAGTGGGTGGTCTCAAGCGAAAAATGGAGGGTTCCAGGTGGGTCGGTGATAGGAGATATTTAGCTCGGGTGGACTGCCGGCGGTGATGGTGCCTATTGAGGGATGTCTATGTCGGCGGTGAGTTGACTCTAAGAAGGGCGGGTGTACTCTAGCGACGGATGGTGGCCCAGTGATGATGGTCTGTTTAAAGGGGTGGGTGGTTTTGGGTATTCGGCGATGGGACGTCTCTAGCGATTGGTGGGTGGACTTTAAATGCTAGGTCTCTTGCCATTGTAGGTGGACCGGTAGTAGGAGGTCTCCAGCGAGGGTGGGTGGGTGGTAGTGGGAGGTCTCTGGTGAGGGTGGGTGGATGGTAGTGGGAGGTCTCTGGCGAGGATGGGTGGATGGTAGTGGGAGGTCTCTGGCGAGGGATGGGTGGATCGGTAGTGGAAGGTCTCTGGCGAGGGTGGTTTGATTGTAGTGGGAGGTCTCTGGCGAGGGTGGGTGGATGGTAGTGGGAGGTGTCTTGTGAGGGATGGGTGGATGGTAGTGGGAGGTCTCTGGCGAGGGGATGGCTGGATCGGTAGTGGAAGGTCTCTGGCGAGGGATGGGTGGATCGGTAGTGGAAGGTCTCTGGCTAGAGGTGGGTGGATCGGTAGTGGGAGGTCTCTTGTGAGGGTGGGTGGATGGTAGTGGGAGGTCTCTGGCGTGATTGGGTGGATGGTAGTGGTAGGTCTCTGATGAGGGTGGGTAGATGGTAGTGCGAGGTCTCTGGTGAGGGATTGGTGGATGGTAGTGGGAGGTCTCTGGTGAGGGTGGGTGGATGGTAGTGGGAGGTCTCTGGCGAGGGTGGGTAGATGATAGTGGGAGGTCTCTGGTGAGGGTGGGTGGATGGTAGTGGGAGGTCTCTGGTGTGATTGGGTGGATGGTAGTAAGAGGTCTCTGGTGAGGGTGGGTAGATGGTAGTGGGAGGTCTCTGGCGAGGGTGGGTGGATGGTAGTGGAAGGTCTCTGGTGAGGGTGGGTACATGGTAGTGGGAGGTCTCTGGCGAGGGTGGGTGGATGGTAGTGGGAGGTTTCTGGTGAGGGTGGGTACATGGTAGTGGGAGGTCTCTGGCGAGGGTGGGTGGATGGTAGTGGGAGGTTTCTGGTGAGGGTGGGTGGATGGTAGTGGGAGGTCTCTGGCGAGGGAGAATGGGTGGTAGTGGGAGGTTTATGATGAGGGTGGGTAGATGGTAGGGGAGGTCTCTGGTGAGGGATGGGTGAATGGTAGGTGGAGGTCTATGGTGAGGGTGGGTAGATGGTAGGGGAGGTCTCTGGTGAGGGATGGGTGGATGGTAGTGGGAGGTCTATGGTGAGGGTGGATAGATGGTAGTGGGAGGTCTATGGTGAGGTGGGGTAGATGGTAGGGGAGGTCTCTGGTGAGGGTGGATAGATGGTAGGGGAGGTCTCTGGCGAGTGTGGGTGGACGGGTAGTGGGAGGTCCTTAGAGAGGGTGAGTGGAACGGTAGTTGGATGTCTCTAGCGAGGAGTTGGTGGGCCGGTAATGCCGGGTGGGCCGGAGTGCGGGATTTAGACAGGTGGTTGTCTAGCAAATTTGGTTTCTAATTTACAATATGTATTGTTCCACAAATGTCTCCTTCACGCAAATCACTGATTACAGCAATCAGTCCTGTCTTGAAATGGGCTTTAGACGGTAAAGGCATTAAACCGAAATTAGAATATATAAGTTGAGTCTGACGCCGTTAATGTCGTTATTTCCGCAATATCGCTGTGGGGGATAACATACATGGGCCCTTGGGGGGGAATCAACATCCTGCCTTCGGCGAATCGAGCGAATGATTTAAAGGAGATCATCGAGCGATATCTTAAGACTGGAAGACTTACAACAACACGTGACCAAAGTTCGTTTTCTGTACTTGACAGGGGAGTTATAACTGCCAGTTTTAACGTATATACAGAAACCTCCGTGACGCTAAAAACGCCATGACGTTACAACATGCATATGTTGTAAATATTTCTCTCTGATGATGATGATGATGATGACGTTTACCACTTTGGTGAAAACAATGAGCACGAGTACCAGGATTAGAGTGAGTGAGTGAGTTTGGCTTTACGCCGCTGTTAGCAATATTCCACAATATCCCGACAGGGGGCACCAGAACAGGGCTTCACGCGTTGTGCACATGTGGGGAATCGAACCCGGGTTTTCGGCGTGACGAGCGAACGCTTTAACCACTAGGCTACCCCACCGGCCCACCAGGATTAAAACCCATGAGCGTAGGTTTCCGGTGTGGCCAAGGTAGTTGCGGTGCCTTGGACGACTGGGCCCCCATGCGCACTTAAGTTTTACGAACTTGATTACAGACCAAGGAATTTAATGGAACCTGGGCTACGACTAGCGGATTCTGCAAGTCAAAGGGACGCAACTCCAGACAAAATCGTGATAAAAACGAATTGTCATCACCATCATCACTATATTGCAAACAAATTTCCATTTCAACATAAATAATCGCAGTTATTATAAATTAGAATTCAATAAACAGAAATACCAATATAGAAATATTTTGTCTCCAGCTAAACCTGACACCCGTACACATTCAACCTACGTAAATGACGTCATACGCAGATTATATATTCGTGTTCTCACAATTCGTCTCCATTCGTCAACGTTTCAAACTCTAAAAATCGATCCAAACCTTTTTTCTTATCCAGTATCCCGTTATGATAATAGTTACGCTGCACGTTTCAATGGAACACTGGTACGAACACCTGGCAATACATTTACCGCGATCACACTTGTAAATCGATATGCAGAGAGGGAACGTACGCTTGAGTGGTCTTCTTTTCAGGGGATTGTTCTCTTGCATCATGCTGCATTAGCGCTGATCAATGCGCTCCGATACAGCGCAGGTTTAAAAAAGTGACATTACAAGTGTCGAATGAGACCGGTCGATGTTTCTGTATACAATTCGGTGTACAGTAATATCGGGGTTTTTCACACACGGTCAGCTCTTAACCTAGTTCAAAGCTTAGACTTGTATTGACTTCATTTCCAGTGTAGCCTACATGTATATCCGCCGGTTATTTGAAACATAAAACTGTTAAAAAGATGTGATGGGTATTCTTAGGTATCCATTCAAGTTTGTCAGAGAGCATTTCAGTTTGTACAAATTCTACTGTATTTAAGGGAAAGTTTGCTGTCTCGATGTCCTGCGATCTATTAATTAAGATATCGAGTTATCCACTGTTCGTGTGAGGCCCAATACTGGCACTTTGCCACAGAGGGTTAAATCTGCATGGGGGTCGGGACAACACAGCGTCGTTAATGCCGAGACTTACGTTACCTAACCGCAACTTTGAATGAGTGAGTTGGGTTTTACGCCGCTTTTAGCAATAATCCAGCAATATCACGGCGGGGGACACCAGAAATGAGCTTCACGCATTGTACCCATGTGTGGATCCGATCCCGTGTCATCGGCGTGACGAGCCAACGCTTTAACCACTAGGCTACCCCACCGCCCCATTTACCCCAACAAATGGTCCTATTTTAAAGTATGGGAGTATGTTAAAGTATGGGAGTTACGATCATCGCAATGCTACGATCGCTCCGTAAACGACAATCGCAATGCAAGGTCCCGTTGCGTAACTGACCACAAGCGATCGTAACGCTACGACTACCGTACTTCCTCTGATAAAATATGTTTAATTATATGCACGTTTGAAAATAAATAAATATGTATTTATCCAACCGAAAATAGTCAAACGTTTTTAGCCATCATCAAGTATTATTTAAACTTGTAATAACATTTTGATCTAAAATTGTTTCAAATTAAGAACATATACTAATTATACTAGTTTCTTTTACAAAACCTAAGACAGTGACTAACTAAGCGATTATTTTTGAAAAGAATGTTTTGACATATGCAATCAAGCTGATCAATGCATAACATATACAGTGACGATCTTTAAGCGACAACCAATATGTTCCATAAAAAATGGTAAGCACACTCAATACATAAAAAAACTACACAAATATGTAACATAAAAAACCCGCTTTTTCTAGCTTTTAAATTATCACGAGCCGCTACCTCATTATTACGCAAAAGTAATCACTATAATATATGGGTGTATGTTCGTTATAACGAGGTTATTTGGGATACATGTTATTGTCCTCTTTGGAGCGTTGCCATAATGTAATAGAAAGACATGTGGAGTTTTAAAGAGCCTCCGTTCAGTCCTGTTTTTCGTTCTATTCACAGCAGACTTGTATATAAGGGTTATGTTTTTCTTAATAATTCATACCAAACCAGCTGGTATGATCTATGCCGCTTTAGACTTTCACTGGCATATCCATTCATCTAACGTTTGCTTGGTGTCACGGATTAAGTGACACCTTCTTCACGTACACTCGGATCCTATCGGATCCGCTCGGTTTAGCTCGGCTTATTCCGCTCACTATCAAATGAGCTTCCCTGTGAATACAATCGGCTCTTTCTGATGATTTGTTTTGCGTTTACGTAAAAGGGCGTGTTTTTAAATTTGCTGAGTATATAAACTCTTTGCGTACATTTTAAATGTATTTGGATTAGTTTGAAGCTTCGTTCATCCGCATCAACTGGTCAAATGGGTGTGGCATCAACGGGTTATATTTGTATGTAGAGTCGCCGTTTCTGCAACCTATAATTGTTTGATGATGACGTATAATGATGAACAAAGTCTCGCCGAAATGCAATGCACGTTAAAATACTGTTTGAACTGAGGAAACGAAGACGGCGTGTTTACACACATGCGGTTTGTTAAAAGTTGGTTGGTTTGTTGTTTTACGCCGCGCTCAGCAATATTCCAGCTATATGACGGCGGTCTGTAAATAATCGAGTCTGGACCAGACAATCAAGTGATCTTTTAGCAATATTCCAGCAATATCACGGCTAGGGACACCAGAAATGAGCTTTAACACCATGTGGGGAATCGAACCCGGGTCTTCAGCGTGACAAGCGGATGCTCCAACCATTAGGCTACCCCACGGCCCCCGATCTTGTTATGTACCCTGAAGTACAGTGCGTAATTTGATTAGTGAAATAAACAGCACCCCCTCAACAGACGGTTCAGGATCTTAATAAAAGTGTCCGTAAATATAAGAATAATGGGTAAACCTTGACAATAACACTCGCGCAGATCCGGTAACGTATTGTGATATGCACATTTATTTGGCAAAATTGGCAAAAAGACGCCGCATTGAGTGCGGCGTTAAACAGCAACCCAACCAACCAACAAACGTAGATCGATGCTCATGTCAGTCACTGAATTGTCTGGCCCCGACTCAATTACTTAGATTGTAGTGAATGACACGCAGCGAGGGCCAAAGGTTAAAATGACAAAAGTACATGTCAGTCATAACAGATGTCAATTGCACATGTTCCCGATTACAGTGAAATCCGCACAGCAGTCGGAAGGTGAAATTGACGTGTGTCAGAGCACATGCAATAATGCCCGTATCGATCAGTGCCAGCACAGGTGTTCGGTTACATAGTCAACTGCGTATAAGCATTTTCCGTTAAACTGGGTGTATTTCAGTTAGCTTTCGTAATGCTTTTATGGGCATGTGGTTTCAATGGGGCGTTTTGTAATGTTGAATATCAATTTCCACGAAATGTACAACTCGCTTTTCAAACGCAATAACACCTTCGTCCATTGTGAAACTGACACGCATAGTTGCTCTTTGAAACGCAAATTGGTAACGCTTGGTCCATAAGTCGAAGAAACTTGTCTAAGCATATTCAGAATGCGACAGGGCTCAAGACGAAAGAAGGTCGACGCACATGTGACACAGTTTGAAATTGATCTGTAATAGATGCACGTGATGCTCGTGCACCCTGTTCTAGGACGTCGTTGCAATGCATCAGTAACCAATGACAGCGCGGTGACCTGTAGAGCAATGGTTACGTAATGAGGGAATTGTTTACAAACACCACACGAGGACCCCGCACCGCCGAAACTTTCACCTTATAACGGGACAGGACGGGAATC